TGACACACTATATAAGCAAGCTGGGCATGATTGACATCTATGCTCAGCTTGAGGGGGAGTGTAAAGAAACTGGGCCGAATGGGCCCTAACAGCCTCTCTTGTAATATCTTTTATTTTATGTTGATGGGCCACACTTAATGGGTCTGTTATTTATTCTTGTTTATTTTCTTTACGTAACTGCCAAGCTGGCCACCCACTTAAGGGCATTCTTGTCATCATTAAATTTTAGATCTTAATAAAATAGGGTTAGAGGAGAATAGAGAATGATTGGACTCCTTCTCTTACCTCTTCTCTTCACCATCTTCTTCTCTTATACAGTTATTCAGATCTGTTTTATTCTGCTAATCACTAAGTTTCAACTTAATATTAGAGGACTGATTTACATCTATAATAATTCCACTGTAAGATGCACACCTTGTGAAAACCTAGATGAGCACCTTTTTTATATAAGTTGTGACATTCAGGCTAGATGCCCCACCAAGGGTGCTTTATCATCTAGATAGGTGCCTTGATGATGTCTTGACAAACATAAAATGGAGATAATAATTTTCCCTCATTATATTGATAAAACAGAATGTTACCAAAAGATTAATTGTTACTAGAGCATATTGGTCCTTTAGTTTAATGATTTTAGGAAGAAGTGAAGTATTTATTATTTACATTGTCTTCTTTTTTAGCTTTATGAATTGAGACAATCATGATAGCAGTTCTATTATTCTTTTGACTGGCTTTTGTTCCATTATTTGGACACAGTTGGGGCTTTTGTAGTTTTTCTATAAGAAGCTTCCTAAATTATATTTGATATATCTTTTGACCCAATTTATGCCTATGACAGGTTCCAAAGCTTCTACTGCACAGGATTTTCCCCAATGCCCGCTATTCTATATGGATTGATGGGAAACTTGAGCTTGTAGTGGATCCATATCAAATTCTTGAGAGGTACATTCTATATAACTTTGCTGATAGTTAAACCAGTTGCAGCCCTATTCTGATTAAAGTTCCTATTGTTCCTCTTCTTAAACACCACTTGGCAGAGTTCAAAAGACAAAATGTGCCATAGAATGTTAACCTTCACACTGAAGCCATCCACAACCTAGTGCAGAGGGTAACAATCCATGTATTTTCTGGTTCTGTAGATTTCTCCATGAACTTGGAATATAAGGGTCTGTTTGGTTCACATGAATAGGTGCCTGGAATTGGAACCGGAATGGCCCATTTCGATTCCAACAGTTTGGTTGATCAGAATGGGATTCCCATTCCCATTCTAGGTGGAGTAGGATTCCCCCATATGGGGGGGGGGGGGGGTATGGCCATTCTGGCCCCCTTGGGAATGTGATGCCCATTCTGCCTCCCTGTTTTTTTTTTTTCTTGCCATTTGATCCCAAGTCCTCATCGTCTCACAGGCCTTCCTCCATTAAAGTTAGCTGCCGCCAAAACCATCTCTGGCGAGGTAAGACTAGTCGTCCTTCCCCTGTATTTCCTCTCTTCTTCCTCTTCTTTCTCCCCTCTTCTCTCTTATTCTGTCCCCTCTTCTTTCTATCCCTCTTCCTCCTTCCCTTTATCACTGCTGCTGCTGCTGCTATTACTACTAGCAGTTGGTATTAGCAGATCCTCTTCTTCCTCCCCTCCCCTTTCTTCTTTCTTTCCCTCTTCTTCCAAACCTTTACCTAGCCGAGCAAAGACTAGAATCCACCCTCTTCTTCCAAATCTCCCGCTACCACTATGACAACAGCCCAAATAGAGCGTAGAACTGCCTCTCTTCTTTCTTCCCCTCTTCTTCCAAATCTCCACCGTTGCCACTGTGAATAGGGGCATAATTAGAAATTTTGGCCAATTTCGATTTCAGCTTCTAGTTGAACCAAATAATAATAATAATTAGAATCCGGTTCCAATTTCTATATGAACCAAACAGACACCGAGAATAGGTGACTCCATTTCCGATTCCAGTTCCGATCCTGACCGCGAACCAAACGGACCCTAAATGTTCATTAGGGTGTTGTTAAGAAAATCATTCCAGAGCTTCTACCATGTAATGTTTCCTTTAATGCCTGGTTTTGATATGAATTATGAACTTGATCATGTTATGGATCTTTATCTGGTTGGAAGGATGCCATCAGCCCTGGTTCTCTAGCTTTGTTCATTTTGTGCTGACAACTATCATTAGCTGGTAGTGTTTGGACTTTGGCTTTTTTGTCTGAATTTGGTCCTAGTTGACCCATGGCCACAATTGACAACATTCCTTCCAGTATGATCCTGATCCATGAACATCCTCTTCAGATCCAATAACACTTGTTGCTACCCATCATTGCATGATGTGAATGCTTGCTGCTAAGTGACTTCTAGGCCTTGTCCATGTATTAGCTACTAGATTATGTTGTCCCTAGATTTCTTGTATATCAAAATATCTTTTCAGATCATATAAATTTTCAATTACAAAGAGGCTGGTTAAGTAGGAGTGCTACTTGTTCTAGTATGGTTATAACTGGACCCAAACCAACCCAAAACGTTGGGTTTGGTTAGGGTTGAAAAATGCCAACATGAAATTAAGTTGGGTTGCATTAGGGATCTTTAGGCAACTCAACCCATTCCAGTGATTCAAAAGGCATGCTAGGCGCATAGGCAAGGTGTATTTTAGGGTATGTGCCTCGCCTAGGTCCTAGGTTCAACACTTTTAAAAGGCACTCACCTGGTGTGCCTTGCACTTCAGCCCAGGTGCACACCTTTTGAATTTTTATTTTTTTTTGTTTTTTTATGCTTAGCAGCTAGGCCCCCGTGGGCTCCACCTCCTGACCCCCAACCAAGCCCCTTGAGGCAAGACCAAACAAGTCCATATCAGGGTCACCAAAGCAGAGAGAACCCCCTATTTGCTAATGTTGGTCATTCATTCATCCTAGTAAAAGATGTTTTCAAAAGACACTTAAAGTTATAAAACCTTTTTTGTAAGGATTAAGAGTTTAAGACCCTGATGGACTTGTTTGAGCTTGCCTTGAAGGGATTGATACAAAGGCGGCTCATAGAATCGGAATGCATAATGTTTAACATCACACTAGCTATTTGAAGTAATGCAATTGGGAAAAAGATGATGAGATTAAGAATTTACATGCTTGAATATGTTTTATATGTTATGCTTGGTTTTATTTTTAAATTTTCATTTTAGATATGTTTTACATGTTTCATTTTAAATAATGAGATCAAGTAATGCAATTGTGTTTAATATTTTTAATATTTTTTATTTTTTAACACTTTTTGCATTATTGTGCCTTGCTTCAAAAAGGCACACGCCTCACTTTGTGCCTCACACATTGAGCGCAAAATGGGCCTTGCACTTTTTTTTCACCTTGCACTTTTAAAACACTGACCCAACCAGAACCTGGCATTTATATTCACTTGTGCATAACCACACTAGTTATGTATGGTACTTACATTATATATGCATAGTTTTCAATGATTTGATGGAATTGAATTGACAGAAAGCTCTATTTTCAAAAGCAAAAAAGAGGTGAAGAAACTGGGACCAACTTGACTCAACCCAGCCAAATCCATTTTCCAATTTGGGCTGGGTAAAGTTTGAGGAATCATAGATTGGATTTGATTGACTTCATTGGGTTGAAGGTTGGATTGGATTAAGTTATGTTAGTATTGAGGGGGTTCAACAATTTAGGCTATCTGAGAAAACTGTCTACAGCACCAATGATAGGAAGTAATCTGTTGCAAGTTGAAAGGTCTAGAAGAGATATAGACTGACCAAAAAGGACATAGGTTGAAGTAGTGTGAAATTTGAGTGCTCATAATTAAAAATGGAAATGGTACTGAATAGTGTTAAATGGTGGAATAGGGTTCTTGTAACCCACCCCATATAGTTGGTTGCGAGAAGGCTTGTTATTTTATGCACTCCTCTTTAAAAATTGTTCACCTTCTCTTTTATTTTCTCTGGATGTTCCTTTGCAACTCTTTCCAATAATTTGCACTCCTATACCATCAAAACATTGTCACTACTTTTAAGTAAGAAATCTCCTGGATTGCTTCATTGGTTATTTCATTTGGTTTTGCTTAGTTGGTTATCTGATGTATAAAAGAACCTCCTATTTTTTATATGGTTTTGTAAACTAGGATCCTTTGATGGTATCTTTGTGCCCTTTTAGTTGTAAAATGGGCTATAATAAGCAGTATGAAAGTTCAGCTCAAATCTGCCTCTTTTCTGGGTTTCATTTAAGTGCAATCTCTTTATCTTTGTTAAAACGCCTATGTGGCTTTACTGCAAAATGTGCCTGTTGGCCTAGTATCCTAATTATAGCTAAGTAACACCATTTGGGATTATATTCTTGGCCCAAAGGAAGGTTCATGAACAATCTGATATGCTGCTGCTGGTCAGTGTTTACTACTTAAAACAATCTAAAATGTATCTATCTCTGGATTGAACCAAATAACCATGTTTTTTATACAAAAGAGAAAAGAATCAAATAACCAATTAAATAGAAACTTGGATCTTTGAAAATTCAAATATTGGAGTCTAATCTCATTTCAGATTTTGTTCTGGTGTGCTTTATCAAGTTGTATGTGCATGCAACTCTGAACATGGCTAGGAGATGTTCCAATTTTCTATAAAAACTGTCAACCATTTCTGGTACCTCAACTTCTCTTTATCTACTTTCCAGATTCTTGTGGCGGAAGAAAGCTAGTTTTGCAATCTCCAGGCACTACAGACGCTTTGATGTGTTTCAGGAAGCTGAGGCTAATAAAGCTGCTGGAAAATATGACAATGCTTCCATTGATTACCAGGTTGAGTTTTATAAGAGGGAAGGTTTGACCCCCTATTCTGAGGCTAAGCTTCCGATTACAAGTGGTGAGTTGCATGTTATTTTTTTGTGCTCTTGGATGCTCTCTGTTTCTTCATCTCATATTGAGTTGATCTTTATTTATGAGTTTCTGCAGATGTTCCTGAAGGATGTGTTATCATAAGGGAACATATTCCTATTACCAACCTCTTTACCTGTTTGTGGTTCAATGAGGTGGACCGTTTTACATCAAGGGACCAGATAAGCTTTTCCACTGTAAGGGACAAGATAATGTCAAAAGTGAAGTGGAGTATCAACATGTTTTTGGACTGTGAAAGGCGAAACTTTGTTGTTCAGGTATATTACAACTGTGTTATTGATTCATAAATTTACATCACAGGAGGTAACCCAAGAAGAAGTGTTTAGTTTAACTCCTAACCTAACCTGGAGGTAACCTTGGGTTTGCAACCTGGGTCTACTTTATACAACTTACCTTCCAATTTAGGTTTGTCTAGGTGAGGATTGGTTTGCTTCAGTTTTTAAAAGGTGTGGGAGGCATATGCCCAGAGGAACACCTCCAGGCGAGCTGCCCCCAAAACGCCCTGAGGCATATGCCAAAGGCGTTGATGCCTGAGGCATATGCCTCGTATACCTTTTGCATGAGGTATTGAGGTGTGCTAGAGGCCACCTTGTACACCTCATGATAAAAAAGAGAGGAGATCCTCCTTCTCAGTTAGTGTTGTGTATCTTCATTTATCTTAATATAAGACATCTTTAATTAATGATAAAAAAGAGAGGAGATCCTCCTTCTTCCTCCTCCCCCTCTTCTTCCTTCTTCTTCATCCCCCTCCTCTTAAGGAGGTTTATGCCTCTTACATTCTGAACTACACCTCACACTTTCACATAGTGGAATGCCTTGCATCACACCTCTGCATTTTAAAATATTTGTTTGGCTTTCAATGGCACATAAGTGAAAACGACTATTAGGTTAACCTTGTGCAGAACTTGTTCAAGTTCCTTCACACTTGTAGTAGTGCTCATCCATTATGCCAAACAAAAACTAGTTCATTATTATTATCATTATCATTAGATTGTACCTCTCTCTCCCACCCACCCCCACACACAATTTCTTATTCTACTTGGAACTTGGGTTGCCAATTACACTGATGCAGTACAGCCCTCTACAGCAATAAAGGATACAGCAAAACGATTTTTTGAAAGATCTGAGCAATCCCAATGTTACTAAAAAATATGAGGAAGCAAGTCTGACAAGAGTTTCTAAATTTATAGCTTCTATTTTCTTGTTTAAGAAATTGTTAGGCAATTACCATTTTTTTCGTTTGTGTTAGAAGTTTCTATTTTCTTGAGTTTTAATTTTAAAGAGTTCTAGGATTCTAATTAGGAGTGAACTACAACTTTATTAGTCTATATATACATGCAAATCTGTCCAGAATAGAACTGGATGATAATTGAGTTAATTTCTTCCTCTCTATAGCTACTTTCTTCTCTTGGAATCAGTGTTGGAGAAACCGAGAAAATGCAAATTCTTCTTTATTTTGTTACTTTCTACTTCTTCTCTGTTATTAGAAGAAAACCAGCAACAATTGTGAAAGTGCCAGTGTTTTACCACCTGTTATCATTGGTTGCCTCAAAATTTGTTTCTCGATGGTAACTTTTTTTCTTTTTGTTTGTTTGGTCTTAATTAAACGAATGGGACAAATGATAACCCATTTATGTAGTTTGATTTCTGTATATGCAACCTGCAGGGATACCATAGAGATATATTAGAACATATGGCACCTCCAGCTGCCATTGTTGTTCATTCTCCACCAGCATTCACTAATGAAGCCTTGGAAAAATCATCACATGAGATTGTTATTGATAGGTCTATTAGTCCTCCAGTGAGGAAGATCCCCACAAAGCGTGGGAAAGAACGAAGACCCAGTTCAAGACGTCACCGCTCCAAAGGTGCCACAGTTGTTAGGGACAACAATTCAATTTAACTTTTTAGTCAATATATTTTTTCCCTTCCCTGTTTCAAAATTATTTATTACAGGGTCGGAGGATTTGAGGAATGAGTTTGTAGTAGGCAAGGCCAGGTTTTAAAGAGAACAAAAGTGATAATTTTTGTCCGGAATTGTCAATATTTTTTTTTGTCGTTGTACATATACTTAAATTGCAATAAATATCATGAATTGTTGCTGTTTACTCATATCTGCTAGGTCATCTTTTGATATTATATTGGTTTTTAGCAAAGGATGAGATGGTGGCTTCAGTGATAGAGTGTAAATCGGGCAGCATGGCACGACACGTGGGCACATGGGCCGTGTTAGGCCTGGCATGATGATCTGAACTGTGCTGGGATTGGGTTTCCAGTTCACGGGCTGATACGCATGGACCATGGGCCCGTAGTGAGCTGCGCTCGGCTTGCCCGATGAACTAGCTGTTGGGGACCCCAAACGGATAGTTTTAGCTTTTTTTGGGGGATTTTTTTATAAAAATACCCCTCAATAGTTATAAACAACGTATTTATGTATTTTAGTTTTGAGAGGGGAGAAAGAATAACACAAATGCCCCCTAATAGTTATATAATAGTTAATTTGGGGGGAGGGATTTTGGGTAAAGTGATAAATAACTTTACAATGACCAAAATACCCCTTTTAACAACTAAAAAATGACTAGTTTTTAGGGTATTTTGGGTAATTGAATTATTTTCAATTCTTATAAATAGTCCTATCCTTCACTATTTTCATCATACTAATTCAACAATTCTCTTAAATCCCTTCTCTAGTTCTCATACTCTCAAGTCTCAATCTCTCATACATTCTTTGATTCTCCAATTCTCAACTTTATTGAAGTTTCAATAAGAACAAGGCTTGCTCAACAGCTCAAGTATCTCAAATTAGCAATTTGGGAGGCTTGGATTATTGGAGTTGAAAGGCTTCAACTGTTGAAATCAAGTTGGGATTTTGAATTAGCAATTTGTGTAAGTGCAATTAAATTAATTTTTATTTTTTTAGAAATCGATTCCCTAACATGTTCAATGTCAATGATATTTAGTCGCAACATGGTAGTGTTAGCACCGATATGAATGCTATTGATATTGATGAAACTTTCACCCCGAGTATTGAAAATAAGGGAAAGAAAAAAGAAGGCCATTAAGTTGATTAGTCCGGTTTGGAAAATATTTAAAATAAAGGGGGTTCAGGGGAAGAGAAAAAGAGTTGTTTGTCAAAAATGTTGGAAAGACTTTAACTATTGTAGCAAATGTGGTATTAGCCATTTGGGTAGACATTTGCTCACCCATAAAAAATAAAAAGAAGAAGAAAGGAAAGAAACAACACAAACACAAATTAGGTGGAAGGGGGGTTGGTACTTTTAAATATTCTAAAGAAAAAATGTGTCAAACATTAACAAAACACATTGTACATGTTGAATAACCATTTTTGTTAGCTGAAGATAGTAAACTTAAAAATGGTTATGTAATTCTATAAATCCACAATCTAAAAAGGTTTTTAGGAATACTATTAGATCAAATGCTTTAATTTTTTTATTCATATAAACAAAATTTAATTTATATGTTATCAAATCTTAATTCTAAAGTTGCAATTACTTCTAATATTTGGATTTTTAAGTTTAACATAAGTTAGTTATATTTGTATTACCAGYCATTTTATTGATGAAAATTGGCTTTTAAATAAAATAATTTTAAGTTTTACTAGGCTTAAATGATCACATACTGGCATATGTATTGTTGTAAGTATTTTAAACATGCTTATGGAATTGACAATAAATTATTTTCTATTAATTTTGATAATGCTAGTAATAATGATTCAACAATAAATATTTTAAAATCTCAATTAAAACTTTGTTTAAATGGTAAATTATTTCATATCAGATATGCATGCCACATCTTAAATTTATATATACAAGATGCTTTAAATATTATTTCTACTCATATTTCTAAAACTAGAAATTGTATTATATATATTAAAAGTTTTGGAGCAAGAAAACAAGAATTTAAACATTGATGTCAAAATTATTGTTTAAAATATAAACATTTTATATTAGATATTAAACATAGATGGCATTCTACCTATGCTATGTTAGAAAGTTGTATTCTCATAAACAAATTCTTAGTGATTTTTATAATGCAAAAATGCCTACTGATATTATATTTGAAGAAGATTGGGAAATGACAATTTGTATAAAGATTTTTTAAAACATTTTTATGATGCAACTAATGAATTATCGGGTATTTATTATTCAATTAGTTATAATTTAGCTTATCAATTAATGATGATTAGTGATTGTTTTGCAAAATATAGAAAGAATCTACAATTTAAAAGTATTATTGAAATAATGGAAAATAAATTTAAAAAGTATTGGGAGAACATTTCTCTCTTCTTTATTGCTTAGGTACAACATTAGATTCTAGGATTAGGAAAGATCGTTTAGATATTTTACTTGAAACATATTGTGAAAATATGAATATTGAAATTGAAAATAAAAAAGAAGAAATTAATAATGTATTATTTGAACTATATAATTTATATGAATCTGATGTAACTGGGAATAATAAAAATTCTACAACTTGTACAACTGCATCGTCCACTTTTGAACTTGAAATCCACTGCCTTGACAACAAGTTCATTTACTAAAATTAATTTTTATTTACAAGCAAATTTTTCTACTTTAGGTGATTCTTCCTTCACCTTGGAGGGAACAAATAATTTTGATATTTTAGCCTAGTGGAGTGAACATGCAAAAAATTATCCAATTTTCATCGCCATGGCATGTGATCTACTAACCCCTCCAGTGTCTACAGTTCCATAAGAGTCTTGTTTTAGTGTAAGTACTAGAGTGTTGGACGACAAGAAAAGTTGTATGAATGATGAAAACCTAGAGATGTGCATCTGCTTTAAAGATTAACTAGAAGTTGAAGATAGATTACAAGACAAAGGAGGGCATGACACTACACCTAATGTTTCACTTGAAGCAAATGATCAAAGTCGAGAACAATCGGAGAAAATGATGAAGTCGATATTTTTTATATACTCAATAGTTGTATAGCATTTTTCAAATTATTGTAAATTTTGTTTTAATTTTATTTAATTTATTTGATATTTTTTAATAACATATATTTTTTTATTTTCAATTTGTAACTATATTATATTTTTTATATTTTATTAATTTATTCTATTTTCCAATTTTCATGTTTTATTCATCCAACCATTATAAGTTTTATATCATTCAAATTTAAATGAAATAAAATTCCTATTTTTCTTTCAATTTGTTATTCACTTTGAGTTTTTGTCTCTTTGACTTCTTATTTGGTTTAGTATATTTTTTTTATTTCTTTGTTAGATTTCTTATTTTTTTTTCAAATTGTTCCCAAAGGAAAGTTAAATATTTTAATTTAGAAATAAAAAAATAAAAAAAGACCAATCTGGCTTGAATTGTCCCACACCCAAGGCCCGACCTATGGTCCAGGCCCACGGCACGACTTGCAACCCACCTGGCCCAAGTCCGCGGCACAGCACAGCATGACATGGGTCTGTACGGGCTTGGGCCGTGGACCGTGCCGAGCCGACCCCCCAAATTATCCTGGGGAGGGCAACACAGCCCAAGACGGCCCACGGGCTGTGCTGGCCCTACACGACCTGTTTTACACCTCCGCTTCGATGCTTCTATTTCTGAAGTTGGAATTACTAGAAGAGAATAAGTCCAGTGAGGACAACAAAGGCAAGAGAATGGTTTTCCTGTTCTCCATGAATTCTTGTTTTATTTCAGGGGATGGAACACCAGAGAGAGAGATTCTGGTTGAACCGTTAATTTTGTTATTGAATTTTAGGATTGTACAATGGAGGGAGAATTACAGCAAATTCCATGGGACGTTTATTATAATATAGATCAATAATTCTGGTTGATAGAGAAAGATCACATGAACATGGGATGTGATATCACTAGACAGTACGCTTGGCATTGTTTTGATTGGAGAGAAATGGGCCCTTCCTGGTGTACTCGTGAGCTTCAGTCCTTTTAAGTTCTAACCTACTTGTATTCGCTGTAACTGCCAATTAAAAACGGCCAACTAATCCTTATGGTTCTTCCCACGTCTCGTGTTTCTCAGCTAATCCTTATGGTTCTTTCTCCTTTCCAACTGTTCCAACTTGGACCCGAGTCATCGTACAACTTCTGGCTCAGACAGCACCAGGCCCACCTACGCCTCCTTATGGTCACATTAGCATACAAATCTCAAAACGCCCACGGGTGTGGCCTCGTGTTCATGTCATTGGCTGACGGGTATGTGTATTTTGACAGTTGGCTACATGAATCTTAAATCATATTCTATAGTTTTCACTCAAGTCTTTTTCTATCTTTTATTTTGGTAATCAAATAAAGCAGCTAAAAACAACAAAAACACACAAGCATAGGAGAACAAATAAAAGAAAAGCTAAACAAGCCTACGAACTAAGGGGGCTTCCAGAACAAAGACGAAGCTCCACCATTCACCGACTTCGAATTTCCCAAAAAGGGAACCAACCAAAGAGGGGGTCTCTTCCATTCTTCAAACACTCCTAGCTTACTTGTTTTCACAAGTTAATGAGCTGCCCCATTTAGATTTCTGCTAATAAAATTAATGCTGAAAGAATTACCCTACAAATCACACAGATCTTGAAGCAAAGGCCAAATAACTGGGGAGCAGTCGAAAGATCTATGCTTTAGAACATTTGATATAGAGTAAGAGTCACTTTCAATTCTAATAGACTCTAAACCTAAGGACTTTGCAGATTCACAGCAGAAAAAAGATAGGTGAAAGTTCAGCATAATCCATAAAAACATATTTACAGACTCCACATTTAGCCAACAAAAAAGAACATGCAGTGTCAGATATCCAAAAACCAAAGCCACTCAAACCATTACTATTGAAACTAGCATCAGTCCTTGCGATACAAAAGATGAAATTTTGTTGAGATTCTTAACTGCTCTTTTCATCATACACTTTATCCTGAGAATAATTTGTTGATTCTTGAAGGGAAACTTTTCACACTTCCCTCATCATCCTGTTTGCAAGAAACAAAGATATATATGGATTAGGATACACCTCTTCAAAAACAAACATGTTTCTTCAATTCCAAATAGACCAAAGAACTACAACAGACAACTCAAGACAAGGCTTTAATGCACCATCAGATGGATTTTCTTGTT